AACTTCTCACCTTCTGCCTTTTAATTTTTTCAAACACTCTAAGTCTTCATTCTGTTACATCCTCAAATATTTTCCTTCTTAGTCTTAGTTTCATCTGTATCTACAATGAGTCACCCACTTTCACCATTGCTCACACTGGACTCTTCACCTTCCAACTCTCCTCTCAACTCTCCCACATAGTCCTAACTTCTGTTAAATAAAGTTCTGTTTCTACGCAACGACAACCCTTAAGTGTTTTAAATTCAGCGTTACCCCAATATCTGCTTCGAATTTCGAGAAATTGGAGCAAACCGGGCATCGCAGTTGGAATTCGTAGAAACTTGGACGCACATGTGGCGACGAGACTCGCACAAGTTCAAACGAACGCACTGCCTAATTTTCTAAGTTTTTCTCTTCTTCAATTTTTTTTTTCCCATTTCTATTTCCTTACTTCTTTTTGTAGCCGTATATAAAGAAAGGTTTTCCAGTTACGTCCTCTTAACATTTCAGCTATTACGTAGATACCACGTCATTTATATCGTCGTATTCTTGTGCCAATCCTGTCATTGTTATTTATATTAAAAATAAATGAAATATGACTAAGAGCGTTATCTCATTCACCTCAATGCTATATGGTTCCGTATTACCCTGTGAGGCAAATTCCTTTAAACATGCACTACTTCAGCTCCAAGTCACGCACAAACAAAGTTATGTGTATAATTTGACATGCAGCCGGTAATATCGAATAACACTGTGTATTCGTTTCACAAAACACCAAACAACACCACACACTCAAACACCAAAATCATTCAAAGGCTACAATCAAAAATACTACGTACAATACTTGATTCGTCCTGGTATGTCTCAAATTATACCCTCCATAATGATCTGAAAATTCTAGAGGAAATATGCAGATTGCTATCATCAATGTATTAAGGACCACGAAAATAAATTAGTCGCCGTAATGAGCAACCGACTAAGTGTGACAAGAAGATTAAAGAGACAGTGGGCTATCGACCTGCCACAGCCACTAGAAGAAGAAAACTAACAACGCTATAAACCAACTATGGGAATTACAGAGTATTATCTCTGCACACGTTTAACTCTTGCAACCCATTTACTTATTACCCTAAATATTAACTCTTTGCGGTCCTGTGTCGAATCAGACTCGACACAAGAATTTTTGCCTTCAGATATCACATAATGATAAATTATAAATGATAATATACCATTTTCTTATGCATTAATATTATACTGAAACTTAGTATTTTACAATTAATATTACGCCGAAATATTGAAATAAAGGGAAACTATACGATACTGTCCGAGAGTAACCAAATAAGTGCGGACTAACTGAACTATTTGGACCATAAAGGGTTAACCTTTTAACCTATAACAACGAGTGAGACTCATGGCAGAGATTCTAGTCAAGATGTGACAAAAATAGTTATAATATGTCGACAAGAAGAATTAATTGTAATCCTAACTTTCATTTTAATTTGTAACACTGAGGATTACTAAATGTAATTAATCCACAACAGACTAGCTTTGGTTACCTGAAACAGTACTGAAACAGTAAAATGGCTGACGCTTAGATACACTGTCAGAAAAGAAATCATATGTTAAGGGGTTAAGGAGTAGATTGTAAATTTGCAGTACTGTTGATAAAAAAAAAACTTATCCATTTTCTTTGACTTGCCTATGTTTTGCAGGTGGCACAAATAAATTAGCGAAATGTCAGCAAAGGTACATACATCGATTGTAACGAGTTCTTATTTTAAATAAACGTGTTAACTTTTGACGGAGTTATAATACGATAGAATTTTCCGAACGATCTAATATTACATATAATTCCTTCACACAAAAGAATATTTCTCAAATGTGAACCTAACTTTTATTATATGTCTCTTCTTCAAACAATTCATTGCTTTTTTCTCTTTTCACCTTTATCTTTCTTCATTGTATGGAATACGAAATGCGGACTAATTAAAAACCATTTATAAGTCAATTAAAAAGTCATTAACAAGAAATTATCGGCGACTCAATTAGTTACGACGAAACATTTTTCTTAGTGTTACAAAAGAAAGTAAGATCTGTACGCGTAATTCCATCATGAATTTCATTATACTGAATTATGCAAATTGTTTGGGTACCACGTAATCCGCCACCAAATGGTCGCTCGCCCACGTTGTTGTATAAATTACCATCTTTATTAGGCAAACTTATATATACACTGACAATATGTAGAAATTTACGGATGTTGGATGTAATTGCATAAGTTCATTGGAATAGTGTTACATTGTAAATTGGAACGGTGTCGGTAACTGGTACAGGCTCTAGTTCACTCGGCGGGAGAAGCTCGCATTTATGGACAAAAACCCTTATTAGTTGCAACAACGGGAGCTGCATATTTCATGGTATTAAGTGAAGAAGTATTGAGCTATGACAGTATTAATCACGTTCGATTAAACTGTTTGATTACTTGCATAATATCGTTCATCGTTAATAGTAGTTGTGGTATACTTATTACACAAACAGTAAGCAGAGTTTAAATTGATTTTGCGTTGCCTGAAATTATGTTTGCCTATTATTTGGTATATCGTACAATTTTCCTACGTACATTATCTTCAATAAGCATTTAACCACTTAGCGATGGCTATAAACCGTCATCGGTAACAAAAAAATTTTGGTCAGACTGCTAACATGGAAAATTATTATTATTATTATATATATTAGAGGTCACGTAATACGGTTCATTCTGTATAACGTATATCCGGCGTGTGGTGATTGTCTTTCGTTATCTCATGTAAACAAACATTATATAATAATGTAAAACATTTAATTACGTAAATAAGTAATAACTTGTTTGCATAATTAAACATATTTGCTGCTCCAATTGTCTGTGTTACATATTTCCACACGAACAAAGGTCATGTAGCCAAATAAATCGGAAGCTTCCATTATAGCTTCATGTTACAATAATTATGTATTAATGGTTTGGATATTAATACCAGATAATTTAATTATTTCAACGTACTCCTTGTTAACTGTGTCAACAAATTAATTTCAAAAATTGAGATGAATTAAACAATTGTCCTTCGAAGAAGGGTAGAAAGTTTTATACGGAGCATTTTAATAAAAACAATAAACGGTGTATGTGAAATTTGAAATATTGTCCGATAGAAGAGAATTTAAAAATGTTTTTGGTAACTTTAGTCTTGTTATAAAAACTGTGTGCTTCGTTTATAAAATGAAAGTACTCAATGTTTTGAAATTCTTGTATAATTGCCTGTTTTAATTTTCTCACTATACACACAGCAACTCTTGCTTTTTACCTTTTGCTCCGAATGCTAATCCTATTGCAGTTTCGAAACTTTATATATTTCTCTAATTATAAATACGTATCATGATAAAACAAAGTCCTACGTATATTCTACGAATTTGCTTGTTCGTCTATACAATTTATTTGCAGTGTATGATATTTTCTGAATATACATTTAATATATATATATGCGTAATTCGCAATTATTTATTGAAGTTGTATCGTTATAGAAAAATGTTGAGATACTGTACTTCATTTTGACAATATTTGAATCATTCTATTTTGAAAAGTTCTTTATGTTCGCTTCATAATTAATTTGCATACAGAGTATCTGAGAACTATTGGCAGAAAATTTAAAAACGCGATCGAAAATTAAATTTTGATCCATGAAATATTTGTAATATCTTCTAATCATTATCATCTAGAATATTGTTTAGATCCTAATTAAAGTAATCAAATTTTGTGCAAATTTGCTTTTTTAAGAATTTTAGGCTCCTTTTTGCCCTGAATACATAAAAATTAGTTTTCGAATTGGTCTTCAATCCGCAATTGACAAATTAATATAATATTTTATTTTGCAATTCAATATACTTTTATACATTTCTGAGAAAACCGATAAAAATAAGTATAAAAAACGTACAAGTATTGTTCGAATAAAGGTGTTTACGAGAGATGCGGTCGATAAGACTTACGAGCCCAGTTGTCATGGCCGCCTACTTGAGTCAGTACGCTAGGCGACATTTAATGGTTTATTGTGACATTACTTTCCGAATGAATTAGATGCAAAAAGGTGACATTGTAAAGAAAACTCCAAGAAATGTAATAATACCGTTTTAAATGCTAAAAATAATATTTTACGTAAAAAAAAAAATGAAATGAAAATTTCCTTATAATTTTCGAATAATAAAAGCAGTTTACTGAGCTTAAAAAAAATTTCCTTGCTTAAGATAGGTTTAAAATCAAGCTTAAAATCTAATTTTTTTATTATACTGACTGCGCGCTTTCCGTTATCTTATAGGCCTTCTCTGTATCTAAAGGTAAGTACGTCCTCACCAACGAACAGTATGCGAACAGTTACGCGACAGACGATTTCTAGGGAAGTGTCCGATATCTTGAAATCGGTGCTGAGGACCCTATTCCCAATAATTAGCAAAATTTCTTTGAAAACGCACAAAATCATTATCAAATTTTAGTATTTTTAATAATCAACTGCAAAGACATTTTTGAATGAAAAATCTATTTATCGGAAGTAATCGATAATTATCAACAGTGGGTATTAAACTATCGGTAATTATCGATATTTCTCCGCTTCTAATCACTACTGCATTCGTACAGGGCCTCACCACAGGATCATTGTCCGAAAAAGCGTAGCTTACAGCTAAAATATTGTTATATCTCTATAACTTCGTGAGCGGCTCTGCTCTAAAGCAAGAGCCCTCAAAAGAATGTACAGTTAAAGCATTTAATTATTTTATTCATACAGTCGAATTCTAATTGCTCTATTTTACTCCCTTTCACAAGAATCACGAAAGTTTAATATTGCTCCTTGCAATTACCTTGTAATTAAATTTGTACATATTTTTCTACAAATGGGACATCCTTCTCGGCGTTTGATATTACTTCGTTCGTGAAATTGTAGTGATTTAGAACTTAAAGGAAGAGCAGAAATTTTAAACGAAGCCATTTTAACAATACGTACCTTGGAAGTACGGTATGAGCTTGCACATTGTTAGTCCGAAGACGAAATTCTTCAACATCTGTCCAAGAAGGGTAAAAGGCATGCAGAAGACACCCAGCAGTAGATCCGAAACAGCCTGGAACGTAAAATCGAGAGAGAAATTGAGAAAATGAATTTCAAACTTCTAATTAACGTAGAATAATTTAGGTGGTTAAACATTTACCGCTCGGAATATTATTGGAATTCACTAGAACTTCGTTTATCTGAACTAATAGACAGATAAATGTATACCGATAATGAATTTATGCACAGTAGAATAATAGTACTCAGTTTTATATGCAATACTTCAGTCAAAGTGGAATAAACTTAATATTTGTTTGCACATAACTTTATGCATTGAATACAAAATTTGAAAAATCAATATTTTTCATCTCTACGTATTAAAAAAGAAATCAAACTTATGGATCCCAAATTTTTTAGCACCTAAGTCACAATTTCTTCAACACACTTAATTCTGTGGTATTACATTCCTTTTTGGCTCGGAACCACCTAAGCGCATTTTCAAAATCTGTATTTTATAGATCTGATTTTATTGAAGAATTATGAGTACTTTAATTAAATTTATTATGACACTTTTGTAGTTAATTCAATACTTCGATTCTAAATATATTTGAACGTTTTTGAAATAATACATTGTACAATATTAAGCATCGATCACTTTTTATATTCATTCAATTCTTCTTCTTATTTATAGAAAG